TGCTCGTTTGCCATCTTATGTTATAAAAAAAAAAACAGTCGTGCGATAGTTTAGTCAATGCGCGCGCTCATAACAATATTTATTGTATTAAAGATTATTCAGAACCGAGCTATCAAAGGATTTATATGAACTTTATATTAGGCTTGCCGACTGAATTTGTATTGAAAACATCTGATTTATGTTGCGAAGTTTTCTTTGGGCTCGAGTTTCAATGAGGGAGTTGGTTTGGTCGTACACAATTCTGTTTACCTTCGCCGCGGAGAATGCGAAAACTTTTTATTAACTGTTCACTGAAAATACTAAAGAGAATCATCATTCAAATAATATTGTTGTTAAAATATTATTTTACTAGCTGTTCCCGTGCAGCTTCATCCGCATGAAATTATGAAAATTTTACTTTATTGTTTACATTTGTCAAATTCTCAATTGCAAATGTCAAAGCACCAATTACCTTACTATGGCAACTTTCTTGATGTTGGCAGAATCTTATGGATGCAAGTGTAGGGCTTTTTATTAAACAAAGAATTATTCGATAATATGATGTGATTGCTTACTTCTTACTCCTCAAAGTTGTGTGTGTTTACGCTTTATTATATTAGTATATATATAGGCGGACGTAATTTACTCTAAAATAATTTTTCAACCCGTGGAAATTGATGTATATGGCAACCGCGGTGTGGAGGTAGGTAGGGAAAACAATTGACTCTCGTATACAACTACGAACGTTTTCCAACAAACTTCGTGTCACGTATCATGCAATATGCATGCTCAGCATTTACATATCAAAACGAGGCGAAAACAAAACAATACAACAAAATGTCCGCTCGATTTATCTGCCGGAATATGTTCGCGTTGAAAGCTCACAAAAGCTTAATCGAACGCAGTTTAATAAACTAGACGTTTTTACACAAAAGACATTAAAAAATATATAGACGAGGCATAGTGATGAAAATTATTTCGTCTGTGAAAGGCACTATATCAATTGTTAAGTGTAGTCCACCTCCTGTTCTTGGTTTTGAGAATCTGTTAGTAGATAGCGTTAGTCAGATTACGTGAAAAAGGTTTTAAGTGCAGTATCAACTATGCCTTCTCTATATCCATATTCATACTTCCATACTAATATTATAAAAAGGAAAAATTTGTATTTTTGTATGTATTGTAATAACTCAAAAACTACTGGTTCGATTTTAAAAATTCTTTTACCATCAGAAAGGTAATTTATCTGTGAATAACATAGGCTATATTTTATTATTACTGTTTAGGAATTATTAATAAACAGCGTGTTTTTGGAAGCCGGCGTTAAAAAATCACTAAACTTTTACTTTTCTCGGCTTACGCTGCCTAAACCGTTATAACGTAGATTACTACTAATTTAATAATTTTGGTAATAGGTTGAAAGAAAAGGGCGAACGTAAGTTTTGAACTTTAAAATTTCCCGCTGACGATGTCGCGGGAAAAAGGTAGTATTTTATAAATATGTTTCGTGTTAACAATGTTTTGACGTTGTTGGACACTTTTTCATGGTTGGTGACATTTTAAAGCAGACGTTAGCAACTATTTTTTATGATTTTGTAACTATAGTTGACATCAAAAGTAAATAGTACACTTTTTATATTCAATTTTCTCTTTGAGTTTAATTGTCCCTCTCATCTATACTATTATAATAAAGCGTAAACACACAATTCTTTGTTGCCTAAGTTCTCATAAATTACAGCATATTTTTGAATAAAACTGTTTTTTTTTATAAAAATCCCTACACTTACGTCACGCTTTAGGATATTTTCACGCCATTAAACTTTGGATAAAAACCGTAATGTGGGAAAGAGACCATAAGTTGCTGCCAACATCAAGGAATCAAGATTGCCATAGTAAGGTTGAATTTGCAATTGAAAATTTGACAAATGCAAACAAAAAAATTATAATTTCATGCGGATGAAGCCGCACGCGAACATCTAGTTATAGATAATTGGTGAATACTATTTTATATTTGCATAGAGAACTGTGAAATTGTTCAAATTGTAAAGGTTTTTAATTATCGCTCGTTGCCCCACTTGGGGTATAGATTCTACGGATTGAAAAATATTGCGTTTGTGAATGTATTCTAACTACATACTTCGTTAGATAAATTGGGAGAATTCAAATTTTATGTTTTTCATATTACGAAATAAAAGTGGTGCCGGAGACCTAATATTAGTCCCTTTCCCTTTCCACCATTTTCTTAAGAGGAAAGTATGGGAAGGAAAAGTGGATTTAACGGTGGAGGAGACGAATAGGAAGGGGAAATGTCCTCTTTATGTGCGTCTCCTCCTCCGTCATTAATGGTAGGCAACGCATCTGCAATTGCGGATGTTTATGGGTAGCGGTCGCTTTCCATTTTGGTGGATTCAATGGCCGCTTGCTTGTTTGTCACCTTATATTATAAAAAAAGTGTTCCACAAGGGTAGAATTTGGATTGGAGGTGAAAGATCGTGCAAAATTACATTCGTACTTTATAAAGTATTATTAGTCTTCCTATAGGAAGATGCAATGTTTCTCAATTTCATAATATTACGTCAATGTTGTTTGATAGCAATTTTTAACATCATTTAAAATTGATTACGTAATGACGAAATAAATCAATATAGATGTAATTTTGTTGAAATTTATTTAGATTAATTGAAAAAGGTTATTTAAATAAATAATAAGTAAAACTAACTTATGTTTAAATTTTGCGAAAACACATTTTGACTTGTAATTGTTTTTCTGTTTTTTTAAACGTACACGCGACAAAATGTGTGAAGCTCTTAGCACAGTTATATGAAGGCTTCAGTTTAAAGGCCTCAGCTTCGCTTCCTTTTGACTGAATTTTTTACACAATTGCGAGGGAAACAGAAAAGTGGGTCAGTTTAAATTAGAGAGTGATGTCAACGAGTACAAGGGGAATATCGTTGTTTTTACACGGTTTTATGCAGATAGTCATGAGAGGTATTACAATGGATAAAGAAAATTGTTATTTACATACATTTTTACTTTCTATCTACTAAAAACTATCTACTAAAAAATAAAGTTCTGATTATCGTCTTTTGTTTTTGCTTTTAATATGACGTCATAGTTACGAGGAAAAAATACAAATGTTTCTATTAAAATGTGCAAAAAGCAGTTATAAAAAAAATGGAATGTTTTGATAATTCTCATTTATTTTCAAAACAAAAGTAATAATATCATTAAGAGGAAAAAATATTATTTATATGTATTGGAATATCTCAAAAACTACATTATCGATTTTAAAAATTCTTTCACCGTTAGAAAGGTAATTTTTCTGTGAGTATATTTTCTCGAACGAAGTCGCGAGCTAATGTTAGTAGTCAACAAATAAACTTATGTAGATAAAATATTAAAAAAAAATATTTAAGTCACCTGTGACTCGATCGTGCGTGGCTGCGAGTTGCAACTGCATAGAGCTTCTTCCCTTCGCCTCCACTTTATCAATTTAAATCATTACACGCCTCACATGCGTATACGCACTTAAGGCTCAACTATACTCTATATTCTTAATGCAAATATTTTATTAGATTTCAATTTTGTCTATCTTAATTTTAAAATCTGTGCAGTGAAAAGAATAAAATTAAAGCAACGACTTCATGGATTATTTTTAAATCATACTAATAAATGCAAAAGTCTAGATGGATGTTTGTTAGAGTTTGTAGTCTGAACGGTTGAACGAATTTCGATGAAATCTGGTATAGATGTTGAGGATAGTCTGGAAGAACGTAAGCTACTAATACTACTAATTTTTTTTAACTCTATGCGGACAGAGTCGCGGGCGAAAGCTAGAAGTTAGATAATCTTCTTGTTTTTCCACAACTTTTTTACTTTGATATTTCGAGATTTTTTTAATTAATAACACAAATTGATATACAAAAAGCTTATACCACATGCATATTCTCTGACAACGTATTTTTTTAGTTTGCGGTTAAAAAAATCAATACCTGCAAGCGTTTAGCCTCGCTATTGCACAGTTATGTTTCGATTGCCTTACAACGCTCGCTCGCTATCTCTTCTGTCCTCCATTGTTATGTAAATTTCTATACGGCTATAAAAACCGCTTGCAGATTAAAAAAAGTAGAAATGTCCTTCATTTTCTTTGATGTTTTTTTATTTATCTATAATAATATTATAAAGAGAAAACATTTATATTTTTTTTTGTATGTATTAAAATAACTCAAAAACTACTGGGTCGATTCTAAAAGTTCTTTCACCGTTAGAAAGGAAATTTAACTGTGAGTAACATAGGCTATATATTTTAATTTCACGCGGACGAAGTCGCGGGCAACAGTTAGTATGAAAAATTTTACAGAACATAGACATAATTTTAAACGTAGCCTAAATAATTTATAATCTGTAAAGAAATGTGCGAAATACGCTATTAAGCATTATTTGCACATAAAGCTTCGTATTCTCGCTCCGTGTCAAAACCACAAACACTCCGTGATATATTGTCGGGGCTTGCGAACTAGTCATACATGATCTTCCTTTCCCTTTTTCTTTAAACGGAAAAATATTTACGACGGTAGCGAATGAAGTGTGAACGTGTTCCAAGTTACGCTGGTCAGTTTTACGAAAGCGGACCCTTAAGAGGCGGTCTATTACAAATATTTTATTAGTTCTTACAGGGGATCCTTTGTTGGCACAGATTGCCCTTTTACGCTTAAGGGGCTTAACAACATTAAGGTGACAATGGAGGGCTTAGTTTTGTAAACAATTTCAACCATTCATCGTGACCGTTACATTTTTGTAACGTTTTGTAACTTAGCATTATTACGAAATTAAGGGCCTGTCCCAATAAATTGTCTGATAACAATCCATCGTGCAAAATATGTGATGGAAATCTCGAATTTTTTTACCTTATCTGACAGAGGCGTCATTTTTAAGCTATCTGAGCTTCTATCAGCCAGTGGGACAGGCCCTAAGGGTTACATTTGATACCCACTACACATGTTGCTTTACGCTCAGCAGTTAAAAGAGAAAATACAGCGGGTAACTTTACTGATGCGTGTAAGCATTAAGCCCGCTTGCAATCAATTGTAATTGACGGCATAATTGAACAGTCGATCAGTGTTCCGTTAAAACTGAAGATGTGTAGCTTTAATAAGTATCATTCGGTTAATGTTATTCCCTCTAGAATTAAGTTTGAAGTCTGTTATTTACTTTATTATAATTTATAACTCATTATTATTGTAATCTCTTAAAAGCTTTAAAGTTTATAACTATAAACGAAAAGTTAATAGCAAAGGTTGTCCCTACATTTTATAGTAGTATCAAAATATGTGGATTGCTTTTGCCCGCCACTCCGTCAGCGTGGAATTAAAAAAAAACAAAAGTGAGTAGCATATGTCTTCCAGACACTTCTCTACATCTATACCAAATTTCATCGAAATCCGTTCAGCCGTTTAGGCTACAAACTCTTATAAACATCCACCCGTCTAAACTTTCGCATTTATAATATTAGTATGAAGTATGATAAATAATGCAATATTAAATCATCTCAATCAACAATTAAGAGCGGAAACACACCATTGCCTAAACTTTCGCACTGTTGTGCGATTGTCGATTATTTCGCAGTCAATTCAACTGTTTAGTTGCACAACTAAAAATCGAGTGTTCGCACCTCCATATAAGCTCATAGAAATCAAAGCGACTAAACAGTTGTGCGATAGTTTAGTCAAAGGCTAGATGTTTCTATGCGGCTTCATCCGTATGAAATTATAAAAACTTTGTTTTATTGTTTACATGTGTCAAATTGTTAATTGCAAATGTCAAAATGACATGACATGATGACAAACCATGGCAACCTTGCTTCCTTGATATTGGCAGCCACTTATGGTTTCTTTCCAACATTAGGGTTTCATCCCAAATATGTACCCCCTAAGTTTAATGGCGTGAAAATATATAACCTAAAACGTGCCATGAGTGTTGGGCTTTTTATTAAAGTTAGAATTATTTATAAATATACTGTGATTGCTAACATCTTACGAGACAAAGTAGTGTGTGTTTACGCTTTATTATATTTGTATAGATATGCGCGCACTCTAAATGTCTTAGTTCGAAATAAAATTCCTGCAATTTGTAGTTTATTGTAACGTATAGCTTTTTATATCGGTTTTTTTCTCACGGTTCAGAAGGTACTTCAAGACATTATAGTCTGTATTAGAATGAATGAAATAGAAGATTAGATTGAATGCCATTTTTAACTAAGGGTCCTTAGCGGTAGGCCAACGACCGTCCGTCACCCACTGTTATCAATAGTCGTGTAATTCGTTCTTATTCTCAGCGTATTGAAGGTGTGGTACAAGTGAGGAAAGGAGGACTTTTAACTCCGTTAATTTATTTTCCCTTACACTTGCATTGTAAGAGAAGGAACTAAAATTAAGCCTGTAAATACACTAATCAGACGAAATTTAGAATTGCTTCAATTTTACGCGTATCTTCTGTATGGTCGTGGTATTGTAGTTAGTGAGCTTATCCTTTCGTGCAATTGATGTTGCTGGCATCTACCATTCTTTTTCACACCGAGCGCTTGTGACTTGTACCGCAGTAAAACTTCGTCGTCCGGTCGTCACTCAGTGGAAATGCCCCATTACGTCTCAGCCACACGCATTACAGTAACAATTCTTTTACAAGTACCAGAGGATATGACCGGAATTACCTTTTGAGATGGTTTCTATTTCATTTCTCGATGTTATTTTTCTTTGATTTATAAGAAAATATGTTTCTATCAACTTAGGCGTGAATTCACAGAACTCGTGCTAGTAATGTTAGTACGATAAATCAATTTAGCAAATTCCTTTCTAGTCTATATTAAATAATAAGTTAGTAAGTTTTTTACTATGGTCGTCATCAATAATCGTAAACATGTACATTCATGTCGAAAAACTGCTTGCTCGTTAACCCATTTTTTAACTAATTCTCAGAAATTTATACAATTGTTTTACATTGGCATTTTAACGAGTTATTTTATAACATCTACTGTTAAAACCACTTACTATTTGTTACCTTTATCATGTAATTAAAAACCAACCTTATATGTATGTTATTACGGTTGAAAGTTTAATAAGTTGTTTCATTATAGAATGTGGGCGGTGTGCGTGGTGGCAACACTGTGCTTATGGTGCGCGGGCGCGGAGTGGCGCTGCCCGGAGCTGAGCGCGCGGCCCGCTGCCGAGTGCGCCTGCGACCTGCCGCACACGCTGCGCTGCGCTGGCGATCATACCGCTCTACAGGTACTAATCTCCCTTCCCTTCATTTTCCTTCCGTATCCAAAGTATTCTTGCCGAACACACCAAGGAGCCGGCCACTTGTAAGTATGGCACAGGTCTGTGGCTTTCATTCTAAGACTCTTCTTCTCCACCCGGCGATAGTGGACCAATAGACTTCACGGAAAATGACACAGCCTATCAAACATTTTCGGTATTCCGTTACTTCTGGAAACATCTATCTAGAAAGATCGACATCTGGTATGTAAAAGAGGACAATGTACTTGGATATGGCTGTGTCAAACCTTTCTTTACGCTGTAAATTGGTTCATACAAAACTTCTACAAGGGTCTCTGTTTAACCAGAAGCTATGCATGGAAGATCTTGGAATGGAATGGAAGCATAAATGTATATAGTTAGGATTGTGTTAGCCAAGAAAATTCTCTCATGTTATAAATAAACTATAAGAGTGTTTACGTAGCTCGTGGCAAATAGGAAGAGCAAAAAGGGAACAATAGCAATCTCCAATAACAGCAGCCGAGCGGAAAGCAAACAACATTCGACGTGAACGTGGAGTGATAGATAAATTACTTTTATTCTTAGATTAGAAGACTCTGAACGTTGTTGATACTTGATCCTTGATTCTTAGAGCGGGCGCACCTTTGAATAACTATCGCACAAGTGTTGTCCGATTTTCAATTGTTTCGCAGTTTATTCAACTGTTTAGTTGCAAAACTAAAAATCGTGTAGTGAGCCCCTTCATATAAGCTCATAGAAATCAAATTGCGACTAAACAGTTCCCCGATAGTTTAGTTTCTAGTGTAGGTACTCTCTTAATATACTGATTTTTATACCAAACTAGCTGTTCTCGTGCGGCTTCATCTGCATAAAATTATGAACATTTTATTTTATTGCTTACAGTTGTCAAATTAACAATAGAAAATCTCAAAATGACATGACATATGACAAACCATGGCAACCTTGCCTCCTTGATGTTGGCAGCAACTTATGGTCTCTTTCCCCACATAAGGGTGTTTATTCCAAAATATTTTCTCCCTAAGTTTAATAGCGTGAAAATATATAGCCTAAAGCGTGACGTAAGTTTAGGGCTTTTTATTAAAGAAAGTATTATTAAAAAATATGCTGTAATTGCTGACATCTGAAGTGTGTGTTTAAGCTTTATTATAATAGTATAGATTAATGTAGGAATGTGTTCGAAACATGAATAGCAATTATTTATTGAAATTGAATATATTTTGTATGTTATTTTCTTAGTTCCAAAGTAGATCAATGTTATCTCTACGGCTGAATATTGATCAAAATTAACATAAGTAAACATGAAAGCCGACATTGAAATGAAAATAAGCAAATCGCAAAGGACGCCATACACGTACAGTTTGCAGTCGCTGCTAAAATGCAGTTAGTCTTATGCCGATTTCAAGTAATCCGTGTATCTTAGCTTTAGGAGGTCGAATATAGAATTACGTGACGAATTCCCGTTAATTCAATTTGTTGGGTCGATAGGCTTTTATGATTACGCACCCTCTTTATTTATTAACATCCGATATTGTTATAGAAATTTAATGATGCCATTAGTGGGAAATAATTTCAATTTATAGTCCAAAGAGGATTTACTGAATAATGTACGCTATATTTTTAATTCGATTAGTTTGTTGTAATGAAAACTTTTGTCTCTTGTGTCGCTATTCTATTCGATTCTATTTCTTGTTTATGGCTCTCCCACAGCGGATTGGGCCAGTGTCAATTTGTGGTCTTGTGTCGCTACTTGGATGTTTACAATAATTAAACCATTCTACATTCTATAGGTTCCCACTGTTGAAAAACATATAGTTTTATTTTTAATTTTTGTTGTAAAATTAAGGACAATCGTATGTTGTAGTAGTCGAAATCCAGGATTTTTGTCCCTTTTAGCACGAATTGAATCATGGCCATATTGCCAAAAATCATGCTCATCTTAATTGAAAAAAAAAGTATAGAAACGTAGGTATCATTTCGTATTCGAAATCGTTTCATTAGATGAATCGGAAAGTAAATAGAGAGAATAATAGAGTTTAAACGAATGTGTTAGAACATCTCTAACGTGTAACGAACTGATTGCGTCTGGCCACTTTACGTCGGCACTCGGTAGACGGCACCCTACTCAAAGAGAGGCTCTCACAGGTGGTAACTAATTGTTTGTTTGGACATACACTGAATTACCTGATTCACTATGCCACTGTATATGCACTTAGGTATAAGAGTCTTGCTCTTGCATTTGAATATTGTAAATGTCGCAATGCATGTTCCCGCATTACGAGTTAGCTGTTGCTCGCGACATCGCTCGTGTAAAGTAAAATATAGCCTATGTTACTCAATGATAACGTAGCTTTTTAACGGTGAAAGAATTTTTTAAATCGGCCCAGTAGTTTTTGAGTTATTTCAATGCAAACAGAAATACAAATCTTTCCTTTTCATAATATTACTAGCTGTTGCTCGTGACTTCGCTTGCTTGAAATTATAAAATAATAAAAAAACATAGCCTGTATTACTGACTGATAACGTTGCTTTTTAATGGTGAAAGATAAAAAAAAGAATAAAGAAAAAAATAATAAAGAATGAAAAATCTGATTTATTGAAAAAATTCTAAGTGAAAATTTGCAACAATGTTATATTTACTTAGATAAACTATTTAGCTTACAAACACCAAGGATTGTTAGGTTACATTGTCCCTTCCCTCTAAGATCCATGACTCGTTATCGACTGAGGAAACGTTGCGGTCACTGAGGCTAAGGTAGCTACGTGCTGCCGTCAGCTGAACCCTTGTCAAACTCATCGGGCAGGTGTCGATCGATTGAAGTTTGCTTTACTTTACACTCGACTGCGTTTGATTCCTTCCAGGAAGTATGGGTAGTTACAGTCAGTTACTTTGATTAGTTATACTTATAAAGAGAAAGTCTTGAATTAATTTGTGTTCTGTTTCTATTGCATTATGTTTTATATGTCGCTGTAAGAATGGATAAATTAAAAACGGCTTGCTTAAAATTCATGACGTTTGTTGACAGAAAAATGCTTTTTTGTTATAGACTTTTATATCACTATATATACATTGTATTTTTTATTACTATCTTAAAGGTTTCCCGAATAGGGGTCTAGCCACTTGTTTTAATTGCCGAAACGCCTGTACAAAATAAATTGTCACATTCTTTCAAGAATTTGAGATAAAAATGGTTGTTTTTTTTTAACAATTTTTCGTTGAATGTCACTTTTAACTTGAATAGAACAACAATGCAGGTTGTGAGTTAAATCAATAATTCTACTCTGCATAATCAAACAAACGTTAACCGATTGACACCTGTTTGAGTTGACATGAGATTTGAGAAGGGTTCATTCCATTGCCATCAGTTAGTAAAAGTCGAGAATAATTAGTTAAAGCCTAAAGATATTCCATTTCTCTATTATAAGTACACGGCATAAAACTTGGTAATTTCGAAATATTTAAGTATCTAAATTTCCCGCGCCTATAATTTTCATGGAGCAATTTTGTGTACTCGTAATTATGCGTCATCGTTTTGTTAGGCGCTCTTACGACGAATTGACTGAATGTTCACATAGAAACAAAAATTGTGGTTCCTACTATTTTCTTTTGAGTAAAACTTAAAGAATATGTGACATATTTATATTCGGAAGGCAATCTCGACATTTTAAGAGAACTCTTATCTTTTGGATTGGCGCCAATAGGAAATCAGGAGGCACTGCCTTGAATAATCGAAATATAGAAATGTTGTTTGTTCATTGAATATGTAATGACCGTCTAGAATGCGTCGTATTTTATTTTGTATCCAAAATCTTACAGAATTATTATGCAATTCTTACTGTTGGTTTTTTTGAACTCCTTTGTTCATCCAGTAAAATAAATAAAGTAGAAGTGGCAATTGTTTTCTGATTTGGATGTGTGGTTAACACAAAAACACAATACAATACCCGCTGTTAAATTGGTTTGGTCGTTTAACTTTTCATCAACGGGTAATAGAATTACGAATAATTGTGCGTAATACTGAGTTGAAAATATAATTGTTGCTAATTAACGCATTGATAATTGTGTACACGATCGGTGCTTGTCAGCACTTTGATGTTGATTGAACCGAACGAGATTTCATTGCTGTTTAATTGGACTAATTGGATTACAACGTGTTTTTAAATAAATATGAAAATGTGTACCGATCGTTGATATGTTTTTAACTACATGAATATTTCTGGCCTCAGTAAGTATTTTTATATAGCAACTTGCTGTTCCCATGCGATTTTATTCGCATTAAATTATGAAAATTGTTTTATTGTTTACTTTTATAAAATTCTCAATTGCAAATGTCAAAATACCAATGACCTTACTATGGCAATCTTGCTTCTTGATGTTGGCAGCGCGTATCGTTTGGTCCCTTTCCACATTGGGGTTTTTATCAAAATATTTACCCCCTAAGTTTAATAACGTGAACATATATAGCCTAAAGCCTGACGTAAATATAGGGCTTTATTTAAAAAAAAGAATTATTCAAAAATATGCTATAATTGCTGACACCTTAGGCATCTGCAATTGCGGATGTTTATGGGCAGCGGTCGCTTTCCATTCCTTGGATTCAGGTGGCCGCTTGCTCGTTCGGCACCTTATGTTATAAAAAAAAAACAAAGAAGTGTATGTTTACGCTTTATTATATTAGTATAGAAGAGCAGAATAGGCAATAACAGAAAAACGTCATTAAAATTATAGATGCATCCAAGTTAGATGAAATCATCATCATTTGATAGCAGCCGTTCTTTGGATCAGGTTGGATAATTGAATTAATAATATTAAAAAAGTGGTCGAGTCTGATAGAAAAACGACAGCATTGAAAGTGGAGCGGCTCTAGACAAATATGGCTCCCGCTACATCGGCTTTCGGGTCGACGAGCTTAGCGCAGGATTGTTTTATTTTCATGTCCATTTTTCTTTTACGTTCCTGTTTATATAACTTTATTTACAGTACAACGTTTAAATGGTAATCGACGCTTCGACGAGCTACGATTGATGTCGACGTTTTTATTTCATTTTTCTACTGACTGCTTCCAATTTCGAAGACCATCAGAAGTATAAAGATTTCTATCAGTCATTATATCTCACGACAGTTTCAAAAATACAATTAAAAACTAGTTGTTTTATTATTCAACTATATTTTGCCCGCGACTTCATCCTCGTAGAATTAAATAACGCAAAAAGAAAAAGCCTATGTGTTCTTCCACACTAACCTCTACATCTTCACCAAATTTCATCGAAATCCGTTCAGCCGTTTGGGCTACAAACTCTAACAAACATTTTCCCATCCATCTTAATTTCAGCATTTATAATATTAGTATGATTTATTTTTGTTTAGATAATTGGTCGTCATCTTCGAGAGCAGAAAGCGAGAAATAAGAACTCCGCAGTATCTCTATTGGATTGCGCGCTGCGTGGCGTTTCTGCGCTCCCAGCG